CGAAAGAGCTGATGAAGGGTGAAATCTTATTCTTTAACCCTCTATATCTTTACTCCGTAATTTACTCTGTTTTTTTTTTGTTTTTTAAAAACTTCCTCTTTACTAATGATTGTATTCTCAGAATCAAGCAACGGATTTAGGAATGATCTCAGATCCTCTTTTGTCCCATCATTCGTGAATCAAAAAAATGAGTCGAAGACCAAGATGGCCAATGGCATGGCCTTCGATGAACATGATCAAGTCATGTTTATCGGAGGCTATGTCAACCATTTGGCCAATCGTTCCATATAGGATGTAGTTGGTATTGTGGATTGGCCAAAAACGAAGTTGTTCGCTGGCAGTGGTAAGAGCACAAACTGAAGGCGAAGAAAGGATTCAACGCTTTTGCCAACCTTGCTCATAACAATAATAATATCATTGAAAAAACTTTTAAAATACTATATAACTAAATGATGTGACTAGTATTCCTCAAGTTTTCCTTAAGTTTTTCTCAAGTTTTCTTCAATTTTTCCTCAAATTTTCATTTGGTAAATGATATAACAAAACAATTCCACAACTTTTCTTCAACAATTCCTCAAGGTAAGTGTCACCATTTAGACCCTCGTTTTTTTAATACTTCATTTGGCTATTAACTAGTGAAACGTTTAAAGTCTTGTGATTTTTGACGTTGCATGCACAAAACTATCTAAAAATAACTTGATACAGTAAATTAACAAGAGGCGTGATCTCTTCCAATATTTCTCTATTTGTGATATACAACTTTAATATGAGTTTCCTCGTAACCAAATTACAAAAAGAAAACTTTATATACAAAAAAATCTTAACTGAATGCTTTATCAGATGGAAGAAATATAACTTTTGAGTAAGTTTCAAAATAAATGGGCACGGGACCTTCCATTCCCTGTCATAGTAGTAGTAAGTTCATTTTACAATTTTAATTAAATTCTATTTGATATGTCTACATCCAAAATAATTCGAAACTATCAGAAGTCCGGAAGCTACTTCATGAATAGTGAATTAGGGAAGATTATTCTTGAACCATTTAATATTGAATGTGTTTGTAGGTTCATATTTGGGCTCACGAATTTGGTAAGATAAAATTATTAAGTCATATTTTAAATACTTTTTGTAGGCCTTTTTATTTTCATAACTTTTTTGTCAAAAGCATATAGTTTTCGATATTTTTTAGTGTTTTCATGTTTCTGTACCTGTTTAAATAAAACAACGAGTTTAGGAGCGGATATGGAGCAAAATGCATAAAGTGGAGAAAATATTGAAGATCAAGACCGACCGGTTAATCAATTGTACCACTTTGTACATAAGTCTCCCAAAACCGATTGGTTTGGTTTTGTAAAATTTATTTTTTCTTAGTTTTAGGGCTTCGTCTATTTGACTATAAATACTAACACTTTGTAACCACAAAGACATGCCTTTTTGAAACTTTTTCGTTTCTAAGGGTTATTTTTTCTTTTCATTATTTTGTTTAGAAGATTGTTAAAATCCTTTGATAATCTCCATTCAAACTCTTAATCTCTTCTTCTACAATGATCACATGTACTTTGGTCATGTGTGAGTAGTCAAATCATTGATTTTAGAGATTTCAAAGGGATGTTTGTTAAAATTTGCTTAAATTATTTTATATATGGATTGTTCTTCTAGTTCTATATCTTTGATTATTCTTAATGCATTAGTTGAATTAGGCCAGTTTAACTATTGTATATAATCGAATTCATCAAGCCACCAAAAATGGTGTATTGAATCGATGAATCTATTATTAGATAGACAAAGCTTCTTTAATCGATGTTATTGTGTTTTCTGACTTTATTGAATTAATTAAAATCTTAAAGTTTGTTATAATTTCCCTAAAGTAAACGATAGTTTAGTTCTTAAGAAACATCTTTCATGGTATAATGTGTGAGAATAAGATAATTAAACCTAAATAATTCAAATTCAAGAACAAATCTTAATGCTTCCATAAATAAATTTACTTGTGTTTATATGAACTCACTGGTAATTTCTCTAGATTTTATATTCGTTGTATATAATTTATTTACTATTTAGTTTTTTATTTTCTTTTATCTCTAAAATAAAATACTACTATACTGTATTTGTAATTTTACCTTGCAAATGATCACTGGAGAAGTCTTTACTTTCATATACCGAGGAATATGTTGAGTTGGGGATGGAGAAAGAGCAAATTAGTGTTCGAGCTTGGCTTATGGTCTGCAGATATAATGTGCCTGAAGTTTTAAAATTTTACACGAGTTTCTGTAACTACTATATAGTTCTAGCCCAATCTAATTTTCTACAGTCTATTGTGTGTTGTTTTTATGGATTCAATCCCTAAATACTAATGTGTTTGTACTGTGCACTTGCTGTCTTTATTAAGGGTTAAAACTTGACATGTACAAATACATATACTTAAATCCTAATTCGTGTAACCCTAAATGAATTTAACCCTTATTTCATATATAGTGCATATTAAGAAGAAAAAGAAGAAGCATTCTTGTAGTTGTTTGCTCTTTTAAGTTTCAGTACAAAACGTAGATTCGACTATTTATATATATATATATATATATATCTTCTCAACCTCTCATTTTCTTCTCAACCTCTTGTTTTCTCTGCTGAAGATTCTATATAGCTTTTGTTTGACTCTGGATTTGGGGAAGAATCATGGGTTACTTTTTCTACAAGAGAGATCCAACAGTTCTTGAAACCTAGTCTTTTTACGCCTTTTCTTCTATCTATTGACGGTTCGCTGATCCAATATCTTTAAAATGCTCTAAGGAGAAGTTTCTTTCAGAAAATACCTATAGGAAGTTGTGATTAGAGATGTAAAAGATGATAGAGACAAGGTGATGAACTCGATCAAGTGAGATGGATACGATAGACACTTGCGGCTTGCATACAAGCAAAGTCGTGCCTAGAGTAATGAAGGCTGAAGGCGAGTTTATTAATAATGTTTTGTATCGTTTAAAATAAATTATTCAATCGCAAAAAAGAAACCTATAATACAACATGAAAAATTTAAATATTGAAAATCAACTAAAAATTTGTTATTGTCTCTATGCATATTTCACTAAAGTTAAATCTAAAATAGTAGATTTACGGTGATTGTGAACATGATTTAGCAATTATACAACATTCAAATAGATTAGGTGAATAAAAGAAGTGAGCATAATTATAAATTGAAGTTTAACTTGTGAATAGTTTGTACAAAAAAACTTCTATAAATTAATACTCGATAAACTAATAATCACTATAAATTAAAAAAAAAATCGGTCTCGAGTCGGATTAGTGTAATATTTAACATAATTTGATAAAATAATAAAATAATAATTTGTTGAAAATCCTATGAAAGTATATGGTCCAATCAGTATCATAAATTAATAATTGTATAAAATTATCAATATATATATATATATTTATTTATTTATAATATATATGTAAGAAAATTTTGTAAAATATGATTTAAGTATTGTTTGTTTTTCTTAAATATGCATTAATCTCTGGTAGAGTTCTTCTTGTATTGTTTTCTAGGGATAATAATTATTTTTTACTTGTATTTGGTTTTAAAAAGATATGGATTTCTATAAAAAAAAAAAGATTTTTCAGATTGATTTTTTTAAAAGATTACAAAATTAGCCAAAACTGTATATAATTTAATAATTATTTAAATATCTATAAATTAATAGAATTTTACTGTCCCACACTATTAATTTATAGAAATTTTACTTTATTTTGAGAAAAAGTCGAATTGTACTTGATTATATATAAAAAATCATGTTTCCATATATAAGTCTAAGAAGAAATCGAGCCTTCGGTTTCATTCATCGAGCATTTCTTAAGTACACACCAAATCGAAATACATCAGCTGTATCATTATTGACGACCATTCTTTGGAGCTTTAGAGGAAGACGGAGAGCTTTTGAACATCATGGTATCAAGTATGTGAAAATCATAAAAGAATAAGTCAGGAGGAGAGAAATAGTACCAAGTATGATAAAATGGCTGATTTATCATGGTATAGTACGAGAATTAGTGTAGAAGGTTCTTGAGTATTAGATTGATTGATGAGACCCAACAATAGGGGCTCTTGGATATAGTTGTAGAATTTGGATTGGAATTTGGGATGTTGTGAATGCTTACTTAGAATTACATGGTAGTTAGAATTTGATGTGATCTGCTAAGCATATGAATTTGGTTTATATAATCAAGGTATGAATTTGGTTTATATAATCAAGGTATGAACAAGGAGTTTTGAAAGATGATGATGGGCAAGCCTACAATGAGGCAGGACATAGACTTGATGACCACGGGATTATCATACCAGAAGATCAGGTTGTCGATGATCCAAACGGGCAACTTGCTGCTCAACTGAACGCAGCCCTTTGAAACGTCATCCATGTCGATCGATACAGCATTGATGTCGATCATCGACACCAACTATCACCAGACGTGCATATCAGAGTTGGCCAGCAAGGCCACATTCAACCTCCTGCAGCTGTTGCAGCGCATCCTCAGATGACTCCCGGAGATTATAACATTACCATCTCAAACATTAAAAAAAAAACAGTAATTTGCAATAACTACTCATTTAATACTTATATTTTCAATTACTCTGATTTATTACATATACATTACTAAAATAGTTTTATTATCTCATATAGTCATGTGAGATTTATATTATTAGATATTAAAAACACCAAAACCATAGACCCTCAACTGAACCTAATCTGGCGAAAACATTGAAATCTACGGAAAAAAAAAACCCAAGTCAACTAAGGTAGCTGAGGAACGAGATGAACTCAAGCAAACACAACGGAGGATTTAAACATCTTAGACGATCATGATCCAAAAAATACCTTCCCAACTCATCTTTCTCCTCGCACACTATTTGTCTTGTGGTCTTGAACTCAATGCACAAATAAAAATAAGCAGAATTCACTACATCAAAAGTTTCTAACCTTTTTTCTCTTTTTGGTTAAATGACTCTTGTAAAATGGCAATGCTTTTTATAGCGTAATATGTCAAAGATAGAATTCAACCTCAAAACATAATCGATCAGTTGCTCAAAAACATGGACAAAAGCCCTTAAAATACAAATTCTTCTATCTCATCGTTTCGCCAATCCTTGTCATAAGGATGCCAGCGAGACTTATCCAAAGATGTTAATGTAAGCCTCTCCCACCAACCTTTGCAGAAGCTGCAATCGTTTGAACATTTTATAAATTTGTCAAGCTTCTGAGTAGCTGATTGTACAAGATCGTCACTAGGTACTGGGCCGATAGCAGGTACATTTTGACGAAGCAGAGCAACGTCATGGAATACACAGTGTGTCAGATTAAGGATAACGTGGTTTTGGAGGCCGGTGATTAGCGATAAAACTCCTCTAACGCAGAGGAAAGAGCAACGCAAACTCAACCTCTTGAGCTTCTGGAAGCACCGCACAATTTGCTCAGCATTGTATTCATGCAAATAACCCAAATATTTCAAGTTGGTGAGGTTAATACAGTTCTCTCCCACGGCTTGAAACTCGAATCCCCCATTGAGATTGTGATCATGAGCAATGATCAGTGTTTTAAGATTCTTCCATCGACTGAACGCAAACCGAAATGACTTCTTGTTGTGATAGCACCAACGCGGTAAAACAAGTTTCTCGATGTTTGGCATCCTAGGAAAACAAAAACATAAACAAAAAGAGTTATGAGATATATTGGAGATAACTTGGGAAGCAAGATGTGTGCCTGTTTTTATGAGATTTGCCTTTGAGCAGCGAACATGAGATCCTTCTCTTTTATATAAGAATGAGAGTTGAAGAACAAATTCTTCGGGGCGGTGCCGCTCAACTTTGTGATCTCAATCAATACTTCCCTGAGACTCCTACCTTTCTCCACTTCACCATGTAGACATTGATAAAAGTTAACCAAAACATTCCTAAAGCTTAGGCCTCTTTCTATTTCATTGTCGTCTACCCGGTGATTGTAGAAGACGACTGGTCGTTCTTTATCCCTGGACTCTGGGCTGTAAGATACGACAACTTGTTGGAGCTTGGCGAGGTCGACGGTTTGCCACAGAGATTTGTCGTGAGAGGCAACGAACCAAGAGATGCAGACGCGTGAAGCTCCCATGATAAGGTCCATTGCGTCGAGCTTATTGAAGATAACTGAAAGTATGTTTCTGTCGAGAGTTTCCCATTTTGGAGTTTCTCCTGACTTCTCCATCACGATACAACTACATATATACGAAAGAGAAAAAAATTAGAAAAGATGGTTGAAAACATTTTATACGTAGATTCTTGAATTCACATGAAAGCTAAAACAAGAGGAAGAGAAGATTTGACTATCAAACAGAGAAGACTAAATGAATTTGATTTTATATCAAATTAAATCTCACTTCCAATAAAATAATAAATAATGATTTTGTATGAAAACTCTTACATGCATTCAAGCTTTTATTGGAGGAAAGTTATTCCAGCAATTTACAAGAGATTGATGTTTTCTTTTGAGCAAGCTTCCAAGCAAACAAAGACAAATAAATGACAAGGGTTACTTACTTATGTAGATTCCTTCGACAGCAAGTTTCTTCGCTTTTAAGAGTTGTGGATTCTTACAGGGATCTTACTTTAGTTTCACAGATTTTATAGACATTCCAAGTCAACAAGACAAATTTTATATAATAAAGTGAAGTTTTTTTTACATGATGAGCTCTGAAAAGTTGTTATTTGGTGTTCTATATTTTCGACATGTGTTATTTCATCCTTTAATTTTAGTATAATAGATACAATATACATTTTTTAATTGTGTTCTTCACATAATTTAACACAAAAAGTAAATTGATGATAAGATAAATGTATACATTATAAGATGTTCACTTTTTTTATTATTTTTTTCTACATATAGCATATTGTCTAATAATAATGTTTGATTATTACATTATTTCACAATGCCATTTTAACTAAAATAAATTGAATAAATCTTTTCCTATTGATATATAGGAATAGTTTGTAAATATTTAAAACAATTACTAATTCCATACAACTACATTTAATAGTTTTTGACAAAGAGAAAATTTTATAGCTTTTTTGTTGAAAGAGAGAATTGAATATTGCATTGAAAATAGTCCCATAGTAATCTCATAGTAATCCATAGATCCGCCGAAACAATAATATCAACATAGAAAGAAGAAAAAAAAAATATTTGTATGCATAATTATTGTTTTTCACTTTCTTTGAACCAGATTCAAATTCATATGAAGTTATGAGTTATCCCACTATGTTTATAGAGTTTGAAAGTAAGACAATAATAACACAAAAGAAAATAAACATTTAACTCTATAAAAATAGATCATAGCACACTTATTCTTCTTCCTCTTAGCTCGAAAAGTCTGGAACCGAAAGTAAGCTCGGGACATAGTAGCAACCAGAACCACCAATTGAAGTTTGGGTAAAAAGCTGTATAAACGAGTGAAACGTCGTGGGTTCGAGACTTGATTTTACAAAATAATTGAAAACTTTTAACCTCAACAAGTAAAACGATGTTGTTGTAAAGCAAGTCATCAAACACTTGTCAGCTAACTCAACAATCGTAACGGTTAACTAACACCTATTAATTACGATTCCGAATTAGGCATTAAATGTAAAGTTTAGGTATAAAATTCATTTTTTTTTTAGGTTTAGGTTAAAATTAGCCTTACATATTTGCCTAGGTCGAAAAAACACTTTTTACGAATTGTACGAGTATAAAAATACATTTTTCCTTTAAATGAACCTACCAAGTACCAACGACCTCTTTTTGGGGTTCTAAGTTCCTATAAATAAAATGAAGGTTCATTGACTACTTTAATATAAAGAAAGGGACTGAATGATAATTATCGAAATTTTCACTATTTTATTTGAAAACCCTCAAGTTTCTTCTATCTAAAGCCAAATTGGGTTAAGTCATTGCTCTCACTAGATGTTTAGTACTCTGCATCATCATCTTCCTCGTCCGAATCTTCTTCCCAGGTGGGTTTCTTCGTTTCTGTATCAATCAATATAAAGTCTCATTTTTGTTATTTCGTATTTAGTAATGCAACTAAATTGATCGTGTATATGTTCATTGTCATTGGGAAATTTTGTTGTGGAGAGAAATTTCTCATCTTTATATTGGAACCAATCCTCTCGAATCTGGAATTTTTCTGGGCTGTTATTGGAATTCTATGGTTAATTGGCAATGATGATTAAAGCAGCTTCTTAATTTTGACCTAAATATTGATGTTCAAGGATTGTTTTCTTTTTCCTTTATCTGACCCTTTAATTCAACAGTTCTCGAGTTTGCAGGAAAATTATTTCAAAAAGAATGAGTACGAATCCTGCAATTGAACCAAAAGTTCGAAAATTCGAATCTGTTGAAGGAGCTGATATTGGTTCAAGAAGTAAATCTGATGGTTTGTTTGCTAATTCCTCTTTACTTATCAAAGCTTGTGGCTTTATAAATTTTCTAGGTTTAAGTAGAATGGTAATGAGGATTTTGTGGTAATGAGAATTTTGTGTTTCCAGGTATCAAATTCCGTCTCGTTTCGTATAACATATTAGCTCAGGTAATAAATAATCAAGCTTTTTAATCTCTCAGATGCTTTATGATATGTTGTAAGCTTATTTGACGGATTTGGTAGTTTTAAACGATCTTACATCACACTGCGTCGTTGGATTGTGTTTTCTGAGCTTGATTTAGAGATAAAGACAGTTCTTTTAGCTCTTTTCTTTTTTAAGTTTCTGATGTATTTGAGCTTTATCTTTCTTGTAGGTTTATGTGAAGAGTGCACTTCTCCCACACTCTCCACCTGCCTGTCTCAAGTAATTCTTCTCTACATTTCTCAGTTTCGAGATCAAATTTTCTTATACTAGTCAAGAGTTCTTTGTGTGAGTTGTGTAATCAATGGCCTGAAGTATAAAAACTTTAGTCAAGATTTGCTTCACAAAACAACAATGGATTCTATGAATGTGCAGAAACTTAGCTATAAGCAGGCATTATTGTGTTTGGATTTAGCGATATAGTAACTTTGTTAAAAGCTTAGGGAATGGTGCTTCTTAAAGGGTTATGATATTTGCAGTAAATGTGACTTGGTCTTCCTTTTCTTGTGCTGCAGATGGAAAGCTCGTTCACATGCAATTCTCAGCGTTCTCAAAAATCTCAAGGCTGATTTCTTTTGTCTGCAGGTATTTTATTCTTGTGAAAATTTGTTCTTTTGTGTTTGGTTAGTATTGAGAAACCCTTTTTCATATGAGACACAGAATTCATTCTTCTCTTTTGTTTAATCAATTAGACAATCTCAGACCTATAAAAATATTAGTGTTTTTTGTTCATAGTGCCTTTGAATTGTGTTTAACAAAATGGTGTCTCCACTTGTTAGTTATATTGTTGCAATGTTCGCAGGAAGTAGATGAGTACGATAGCTTTTACAGAAATAACATGGAGTCTCTGGGCTATTCTGGGATTTATATTCAGAGAACCGGACAGAGGAAGCGTGATGGTTGTGCAATCTTCTACAAGCCAAGCTGGTATGATAAAAACATCAAGCGTGACAAGACTTTAACTTAATGCAGAAACATCAATCTGATTGAAACAACACTCTTCTTTTGATTTAGTGCAGAGTTGGTCACAAAGGAACGGATCGAATATAATGATCTTGTGGACTCAATAAAGGCAGATAGTGTTTCCTGCAGCGAACAGAAGATTGAGACATCCAACGAAGGAAAAGGTGATGAGAAAGCGAAAGGTAAATTTGTCCTTTTGGAGGAAAAGAAAGCAAATCCTTTGTGCTGTTTCTTCATATCTCAACATCATTACCAACTTCTATCTATTGTTCTCTTCACATGTTTCCACAAATCTGCCCCAAACAAAAGATTCTCGAAAAGACAGTCGTGACCTTAATGATCCACTAGTGAGACTAAAACGCGATTGCGTTGGAATAATGGCTGCTTTCAGGATTAACAATCCGTTTCATCACATTGTTATCGTGGCAAACACACATCTTTACTGGTAAAAATACTTGCCACCCATTAAAGATGATCATTTTCCACACATTTCAACTTTCATCTCATGTTTACTTCTTTCTAGGGACCCGGAATTGGCTGATGTCAAGCTTGCTCAAGCCAAGTATCTACTATCACGACTAGCTCAGTTCAAAACGCTAATATCAGATGAATTTGAGTGTACACCTTCATTGCTACTAGCTGGCGACTTCAATTCAATTCCTGGGGATATGGTTTGATTCAATTGCTTAGCTTGAGTTTCCACAATTGTTCAATCTATTTACAAAGTCATAAAATTGAGTTTGCTGTGGTAAAAAACTGATACTTGTCGTCGTTTTCCAGGTTTATAATTACCTAGTATCGGGTAATGCTAAACCCGCAGAGACCACAGAAGAAGAAGAAGCTCCAGTTCCGCTGTCTAGTGTCTATGAAGTCACAAGAGGAGAGCCTAAGTTCACAAATTGCACTCCTGGCTTCACAAACACACTTGACTACATCTTCATCTCTCCTTCAGACTTCATCAAACCTGTGAGTATCCTCCAACTACCTGAGCCGGATTCTCCAGATGTTGTAGGTTTCTTACCGAATCATCATCACCCGAGTGATCATTTACCGATAGGAGCTGAGTTTGAGATTCGTCGGGAATAGAAAGTTTTGTTCTTTAGAAAGTTTTGTTGCATAACTCCATTGTTTCAGCATTTGAATATGATTCTTGTAGCAAATCATGAAGCAGTGAATCATACACACACAACACAAAGTATTAAAGGACTTGGGATCATTTTAGTCTCAATAAACTCGAAATTACTGAGAATATTTGAATTTCCAATTGAAGAAATTTTATCAATCTCCGTTGTTCAATGTGTCTTATTTATTGCACTCATATAATAACATAAGAACTTGTTCAATGGGTCAACTAGACAAAACAACAGAAGATTTTGTGAAATGACATAGTAACATGATGATCTCGGCTCAAATTTGTTGAACAAAGTTGCAACAAAATTAGTCAAGCATTGATCTGTATTATCTATCAACCACTAAAGTTGTACTATCGCACCAACTTATTATGATAAATGATAATTGTGAGTACGAACGAATATTCTTTTACAGTCTCAACTTTCACCGATAATTTGAACCATTGCTTATGAATAAAGTCGTACTCTTTGTTTCTTCAAACTTTTATCCAAAATGACAGTGATGTAATGTTATGTTCCAAAAACATAAGATTTTTTCAAAACGAATAATGATCGTTCCTTTGAATATTAAAAACATTAAAGCAAAAGTCACAAAATAGTAATACATACAAACACTTGATTTTTCTTTCTTATTTTTTATTCTTAATTATCTTTTTCTTACAAATAAAAAGACCAAAATTGGTATAATTCAAATAAAACTATGAAAAAACTTGCAATTAATAATTTGGTATATTTTGATATTGCTTGAAATATCAATTTTGAAATTGATAATTGTTAGGATATGTATAGTTAAAAAGGATAATTAATTTTTGAGTTTAAGAAGGTTTTTTTTGGTCTCCTATGAAACAAATCTATAGAGTTTGAAAAAAGATGAATTTTGATCCCTATCAATAATCCACCTCCAATTCAACACCAAATAATCCACCTCATATTCAACACTCATTTCAACACCCTCATGGCACCTATTCAACTGTTGTATATGGTCTTATAAATAAGTATCACTTAGCATAAGCTTCTCTTGAGAACTCTTTTTACCTACTGGTAAACTGAAAATGAAAATCTTTGATGTGAGTTTCACCGGAGAGTTCATAGTCAAAGCTTCCGGCGACCAACTGGAGAAAGTTAGTAGCCTTACTCTCTCAAATCTTGACCTTCTTTCCGGCCGTTTTCCGGTGACCTACTTTTACTTCTACCCCAAGCAACCACAATTATCCTTTGAGTCAATCGTCAAATCCCTCAAAAGCTCACTCTCTGAAACTCTTACCTACTTCTATCCTTTCGCGGGTCAGATTGTTACCAACGAAACTTCTCAAGAGGAGCCTATGATCATCTGTAACAACAATGGAGCTTTGTTCGCTGAAGCTCGAGCTCATATCGATCTAAAACGTTTGGACTTTTACAATCTCGATGCGTTTCTCCAATCAAAGCTGGTTCGGGTTAACCCGGATTTCGCTTTACAGATTCAAGTGACAGAGTTTGAATGCGGAGGCCTCGCTATAGCATTCACGTTTGATCATGCTTTAGGAGACGCGAGCTCCTTCGGGAAATTCCTCACTTTGTGGTCGGAGATATCGAGAAATCAGCCGGTTTCTTGTGTACCAGATCACCAAAGAAATCTCCTCCGGGCACGGTCTCCTCCCCGTTACGACCCTCACTTGGACAAAACGTTCATAAAATGCAGCGAGGAAGACATTAAGAACATACCGATGACAAAAACGCTCATCAAGCGTCTCTACCACATCGATGCTTCGAGCATAGACGCGTTGCAAGTTCTAGCTACTGTAAACGGAGAGAGCAGAACAAAGATTGAAGCTTTCTCCGCTTATGTGTGGAAGAAAATGGTGGAATCTATAGAGAGCGGTCATAAAACCTGCAAGATGGGATGGCTTGTCGACGGTAGAGGAAGACTCGAGACCATTACCTCGAGCTACATAGGAAACGTCTTGTCTGTAGCTGTAGGTGAAGCCAGTATCGAGAATCTAAAGCAAAACCATGTATCAGAGATAGCAAACATAGTGCATAAATCGATAACAGAAGTGACAAACGATACTCATTTCACAGATTTGATAGATTGGATCGAGAGTCACCGACCTGGACTGATGTTGGCTCGGGTGGTTCTTGGACAAGAAGGACCAGCTTTGGTCTTGTCTTCAGGACGACGCTTCCCTGTGGCTGAATTAGATTTTGGATTTGGTGCTCCTTTCCTAGGAACTGTGTGTTCAACGGTTGAGAAAATAGGAGTTGGTTACCTGAACCAGCGACCTAGCGCCTGCAATGATGGCTCGTGGTCGGTTTCTGCTATCGTGTGGCCTGAACTCGCTGCAGCTTTAGAGTCTGACTCGGTGTTTCAGCCAATGTCTGCTAAACATCTTCAACTCCAGACCTGAAAAAAAGCTCAGCTAACGACGAAAAAATAAGCCCAAAGGAAGAAGCTTTCATCGTTTTGCTTTATTCTTTGTAAAATTATGGTTACAATGGATTGTGGATACAATGTGGCAAAACTAAGTAGGAGTTTTTCCTTTTCAAATTTTCTGCACTATATGTTACTTCTGCACAGGAAACAAAAACAAAATCAGGGAGCTTTCGCTGGATTTCAGATATAAACCTATGGTCAAAGTCTTAAGGCTTCTTCAAATATTTCTTGGCTTCTGCGGAGAAGCTTCTAGCGATTTTTTTGTCGGAGAATGTTAAAGGAAGCTCTTCATCATCATAATCAGTCTCTCTTCTGTCTATCCAGCTATGAGGTCTACTTGAGTCTTTTGGACTATCATCTCCTTCGGTGGATTCCGTGGGTGAGTTTGGTCCGTCTGGTAACTCGCGATACAAGTGTTTAATTATGAAAAGAGCAGTATCGTTATCTCTCCAATAGTTCCTGCGCGATATATAACAGTCTTGAGTTCTTGGCTCTAAAAGTTAAATGTAATATGTAAGCAATGAAAAGTTTCACTTACGTATGAGCTCCTATGGCTTGTAGATACGGATGCTCAAAGGTTTTCTCCTGCATCACCCAAATATTTCAGCAATTATTATATGCAAACTAGCGAGCTTTAGCCAAATCCAGTCCATGTTGATTCTTTTATTCACTCATATTGCAGTTTCCAAGAACCACAGCATCCGCACACGAAAAGGTGAACGCAACAGAATCATAAAATTTATAACTTAGGTGGAAATGCATCAAAACTTCACCTGGAGCATGTGATCTATTCGACCGTCTCGAGTTCCAGTTAATCTCTCCATCATTAAGGAACCGTAGGACCTTCCATCCTTTTCGTCATCAGTTTCTTCCATCTCTGTTCCATCACACAAGCAAGTAAAATTAGAAGTACATGATAGGTAATAGAAAAAGACTAGCAAAGTAACGACTTTTTTACCGTCTAGGTTATCCGCACTTTTGGATTGACAAATAGTGAGAACTCTTGTCTGCATGAGAATTAAAGATAAGTATTTATGAATCACAAGAGATAACAACTTGGGGTTAACATTACAACATAGATAAAAGTAATTAGAAGTCCGAAAACACACACCCTTACTGAATCAAAATGATTCATTATTCTCTGTGAACGTGCAGCAAAATCTTCTCTGAAATCCTAAAGAACATTACATAGAGAAAACCTATTAGAAGAGGAAGTAAAACGAAACACCAACCCACAAAATCACAAGTACCTGTAATCCAATATGCAACCGCTTGCCCCCTCTGTGGTAGGGAATAATAACAGGTCGTTCGGGAAGGTACTCTTTGCAGACAAGTGGCTCCAATCTGCGTGAAACAAAAAGTAACTTGGCGTTACACACTCACAAAAGAAGGTAACAGAGACAGCGAAATCATAAACTAGCTACACTGTTTTATTTTTATGAAGACTAACCTATATGCAACAGGATCATAGGGATGAAAAATATTGAACATTCGACGACAAGCTGGCATCTCTTCAATAACATTCTCCTCTTCCCAGTAATCTTTTCCCATACCTAACACATATTAAACAGCTTTTAGAGCATATAAAGAGACTTTGCAAGGAAAGGTAAACAGGTAATTCAACAGCAGACTAAAGATACATACAAGAGAAAAGAAGAATTCATGGATCTCTTGTTTTCATAATCCTGGAGTTACATAAATATGTATTACCTATCCCAAGACGTATATTTCGAAGGGCGAGAAAAACTCCAAGAGGAGACCCAACTGCAAAGAAAGTGTCAACCTGTGCAGAATATGCAGTTACGAATTAGAATGACGTTTTTACAGAGTGGTTTCTGATGAGATATATACATTTTAATTCTACAATCCCACACCTTGAACTCAAGCTTTTGGTACTTGATAAAAGGAGTAAAGCTTGTTGGTTTCTTGGCATCTTCAGTTTGCGCCTTCTCGTTGTTGAGCTGCTTAGGCACCACATATGCCTTGGCTTTTTCTGTTAATAACACCATTTCATATCATCACTAAGATGTACATAAAAGAAGTTTTCAAACACAACTCGAAATATGGGAAAGACAGAAATCAAGGGTCAGAAACAATACCATCCGACAATATTCTGGCATTCTCTGATTGCAGTTGTGCTAGTTTTGACCTCAATGAGTTGACCTAGGATAACAATACGAGATGCTATGAACACAAGTGTTGAAAGCTTACAAGAACTTAAACTGCATATCTCATCAGAGAAGGAAAAGTTGAAAGTGCCAATATTTACCTCATCTTGTAACAACTTGATTCTTTCCTCATTATTAGAATTGACACTTTCTTTATCCCATGATTGTTCTTGAGAACACGATGGAGAATCAGGCGTTCTACAGTCCGCTCCATCTGGTCCATCCTGTGAGGATATAGCACCACTAGAATCATGATGGTCATCTTCCTGGCCTCCTCTTCTTTCCAAACCCACGTTGTCCACAACAGAATCAGAGATCAGTGAAGGAGCTTCCTGGATGACATCGTGATGCTTCAGTACTGTTGATTCTTCAGCCACCATGTTATTATCTTGACCTGTGATTTCCTCGGTGTTAATCAACTGGTTAGATTTCTCTGGCTCAAAATTTGATGATGGATGTGAACTACAAGGTTTGTCAGCGCTGGCTGGAGTTGGAGGAGATTCTTCATCTGGAAAAAATTTCTTGTATACTGAATCCATTGGAAATGGGGATGACAAGTTGTGTTGATGACATAAGATGTCATAGGAGAGAACACTCCCCAGAGAATGTCCATAAATGGAAATCTGTAAAATGTCCATGAACAGAACATGAAGTCCAATTCCATGCAAGCTTACACTAGTCAAAATTTGAATGATAAGACTAAACAAGATGGGCACCTTTCCGACATAGTCTGGATTCCGCTTTAAAAATTTTAGATACAGTCTATTCAGCTGCTTTGAAACCTGTAAAACGAAATAGAGGCACAAATCACTTTTCATACTAAACAAGATTACCAGTTATAACGATACAGAAGATTAAAGTAACAATGCCTAGTAAGGTTTTATGCTGTCACAAAATCTAAAACTCAATCACTAATTGGTTTCAATTTGGCACTTTAAGACAAAGCGAGTATCAAATTTGGGATATTTCAATACCGAGTCAATTATAGCTTGACAATAAATGGGGCTCATATAGTATAACACATCATGAACAGTTGCGCTCAGCATCTCTCGAAAACGCCGTACACCATCTAAAGTACATTTATCAACAGCAGCTTCACCACTTAGCTTTAGACCCTTTCTCCACTACAAAGACAATAGAGAAAGACAGAATCTATAAAGTAAGATCATACTATACAGAGATAAAACAGTAGGGGATAAAAATATATGTGTATATGTATAGCAACCTGGCATGGGATGAAAAGGACCCGTTGAGTGCTGAGCTGATGAGAGGTTAGATGACGCTCCGCTAAAGCTGCCGTGATTTGACGGAAGTTTCCAACATCGTCAACAAGATTGGACTTTTCTCCTTTTTGGCCAATACCATGAACCATAAATACAAGATGCCGAACAGGGACCTGGACAAAATAATACAAAAGAACAGTTCTAGAGAGCTTCAAAACTTGGAGATTCTAAAAATAATTTGACGATAGAGATCAGATATGCAAATGCCATTCATGGAAAACAAAAGTATACTAAAACATACTTGAGAACAATAGTCATCCATTTCTTCCTCCTTTTGCTGGCGAAGTTCTTCCTAAACAAATGCACAAGAAATGTGTGTTCAATAACAAGAACACTAACCAGCTAATAAGAAAAATATAAACGTAGAACTTAATTCGATTTTTCAGTATAGAGTGGTAAGGATAGAGTCAAGAAAATTAACAAAAGAAATCAGAATAGTCTAAAAACCTGCGTAGGTTTTGGAGAGTAGGAGCCAGCATAACCACGTCTCAACTTAATTCCATTCCCAGTATATCCAACGATGCCAGAGAACCCAGAAGGATCAACATTAAGCCACGCTTCCCAGGTGTCATCCTCACCAGTAAAAAGAGCATGGAGTCCCTACATTTACGACTTCAGATAATATTATGTATGCAACCATTTAACTGGCAAAAAAGTACAGCTTTTTTCCCATGAAATCAAACACATACCAGACTAGAACCCTGCAAATCAATACGAGCTGCAAAAAGCCCAGAGGGTTGAAAACTTCTTCTGCGCCAAACCTGGGTGAAAAATCCAAACTAATTGGTGCTATTGTCATATCATCAACAATATATACGCATAGAACTATCAGGAGTCCTCAACAAAAGACAGAGATAAATGGGTGGGTAACAAGGGATAGCTTTAGTGGATTTATGAACCTTAAAACCGAAAACATAATTAACAGAAAATGCATCAATTGCTTCTAGTTCTAGGCAAACCGGGATCATAAATTTGAATTGTATTCCACAGAAAGATATCGAACCTTGTTACGATATGCAACCTCCAACTGCTCAGAAACAGTTTCTGGAATTGGAAGCCAGTCTAGGCCACCTTTACGAGCAAACCAATGACCTCTAAGAACACGCCGATTATCTCCATTCCAGTACACAGGAAAGCAGTGCCTCCTCACCAAGTCCACCTGCAGCATTCCGGTTCCTAGGTCAGAAATATGGATTTGCATACAAGGACTCTAATGGGCTCAACATGTAAAATTTACAAGAAACTTCGAAAACATTTTTTAAATCTCTGCACGGTGGTACCTCATATAGCCCACCCTTAACAGGTACACCGACTCTCTCCTCTTCAACTTCATATAGACTAGTGGACACAGAAGCTTCTGAAGGAGTTTCAATTGACTGCTTAACTGATTTCTTTTTAGAATTAAGTTGTGGTCTCGGGCCTTCGCTGCATTCTGCATACTCTTTCCACCAGAGTGATAACAACTCATCCTCTCTCTATTGCAGAAATATCCCAAAAACAATTTGTTAGATATCACAGTTCAGTCAAATATTGAACCAAACTTGTCAAGATAAACAAATACATTGTAAAACCACAAAAGCTTAGAAGAAGAAGAAGAACCTGCAAGAAAGATGCCTCAATCGCAAGAGAATCCCTCATCCCAAAACGGAAATACTCACTCTTTCCTACTACGTCAGTGCGAGGTACTGAAGCAGCTAATTCTGCAGAAAAGACAATAACACATTACATCTTTAATCCACTCATTAGAAACTTGGATACACAAACAATTGCATTCTCTATTCAACCTTTAAACCAACCAATTAAGCCAATAAGACTCACCATTTTCAGCCAAAGGAACCTTACAAAAGTACCACCGAACATCACTCCCATCAGATGGACTTCTGGTCTGAGCAAGATACTTTTGTCTACCATGGCATTGCTCAATCACATCTTCTAACCTCGCAATGTTAGAAGGCGTATTCTTCAACAAATCAGGAGATGTTTCATTAACCTCCCGAGTTCCTGATCGTGCCTCTCTATCTTCCATCTGATCAAGAAAATCAAGAAAGCATCAAACTTTGGACTTACAAAAACACAAACCTAAATCAGTAATCAGAAACAACAAAGAAGTCTAATTTCGAATCAAATTCGAGTTCGGTGATCAATTATTGAAAATTTAACAAAACCCTACAGAGAAAATAAGAATCAACACATACCACGATACAGAGGGGGTTAAAGGAGGAAGCTTTAGACGAGAATTAACAGAAAGATTAGAGATTTTTGATTTGATGAAAGCTAAATCGCGAGAGGAGAATTAGAAAGAAGGAACAAACAAAAAGGTCGTTTGAAAAAAGAAGAGTGACAGCTGGGAAATCGAATTGAATTGAAGGTTTTGGACCAAACCTTTGGTTTTGCTGGAATATTCGCGAGAGAACCGAACGAAACTTTGCTTCAGCGGTTGCGTGTACTGTCATCTTCTTTAACAACTGCCACGTAGATGTCATGTCAGCATTTCGAGAAACGAACCGATTTGTCTTGTTGTTTACAAGTGAAGTAAATTGAAATTTGCCAAAAGTCAAAATAAAATATTTTTGGATAAGGTGGGATAAATGCATTCACATAATCTATATATACATTTTTGGATCACAATTAGCAAATAAATCCTGAAGTTGAGAAGTATTTACAATGACATGCCATTAGCATTAATTATTTAGATTTGTTTTATATAAGTAAAGATTTTTAATTGAAATTCATTTCTCATATATTTAGCAAAAGTCTCTACAAAATCTTTCCTTATCTATTTAAGTAAAGATTTTGAAATCAAATATGTTCTCAACAATTTACCAAAAATCTCTACACAATTTTTTTAAAAATCTCGACTTAGTTAACTTCTGATTTTTATCTGCAAAAAAAAAATTAATTGTAACGAGTGATGTAAAAATCGGGAATGTTGATACTTCAATTTCTTCTACTTCTTTTTTTTCATATAATGAAAATTATTTTTTAGGGATATTTTCTTAAAACCTCTAAACAAAACAAAGGGTTTCAAAAGATAGCTTCTCTTTTGGCGGGTCGACCCGCAAACCCGCAACTCTCTACGGGCTTATCCGCATGAACCTGCGACCCGTAGTGGATAAAAATATTATTCAAAAAAAATAACAAATGATGTTTAATTTTACGGGACGGGGTTATATGGTGCAACGGGTTTAGATCAATATTAATATTAAACAATATACTATGGATGAAATCCTAGAATTAAAAATCAAAATTTAATTATAAAATCAGAAACACTAAACAAATAAACAATATTAACAAAACAAATACAATTTAAAATTTTGCAAAATAATTTTTTAGTTATAAAAAATCGACCCGCGGTGTACCGCGGGGTAAAATCTAGATTTGGAAGTTTAAGGAAGAAAAATCTTTTTTAAAAAATAATAGCCCCGCGGTGTACCGCAAGAAAAATCTTTCTCCTAAACTGAGGCAAGAAGAAGAAGAAAGCCAAATATATAGATATACCATTTAAACCTAAAACACAATTAATGTACTCAAAACTATTAATATAGATATATGGATGGTACATTTATAAAATAGGTCGAAATATTATATTATACTCTCTATTAATAAACAAAACTAATTATATTTAGATTTTTTTTAAAAAAATTATAGCCCCGCGGTGTACCGCGGGTTCAAATCTAGTTGGTGAAATAATCTAAAAGTAAAACAAAATTTGTGAGGTATAAATAATTGAATTAGTGATACAATGTGGTGATGTTGACCTACCAAATTTGCTTCTATAATGTACTAATTTAAATGTAGCTAGCATGTGTTTTTGAATTGTGTAAAGAGAGAACTCGAATATTTTCATCTTAACTTAACCACTCCATCTATAGTGTGATTTTAGGAAAATTTTCGCGATTATGGTAGCAAAAGCCAAAAATTTATTAAATTTGGGATTTAAATGGATATCTCCGTTACTTACTTGTTGGTGATATTTTTAAGTTCTCACCAACAAAATCATGAAAATCATTAGTTCCAAAACCTCCAAAATACTTCTTTTTGGATGATTAGAAGTTCATCATTTGTGCTACCTCATCCTGATAGCCGTACCATATCTTAACCACTACAATTAATGATATTGTTTGCCAATAAGAAATTAGTTGGTCGAACTCTAACCAAAGCGATATGGACATATATGTTTCTTGATCCTTAGTCTAAGGTGCAAGATTCCTTAATTCTCAATTCTTTGTTTTCATTTACGTTTTTTTTTGGCAGTTTACGTTTCTACACTTCAAAGTAAAATAAATATTGTTGCCAAAATCAAATACTAAACGTCAAAATAATACATTTGTTACGGTCTTTATATCGCTTGGGAACGTAAGATAACTCGCCTTGAACTAGAGGTGGATTCGGAGTTGGTTGTTGGTTTCCTCAAGACAGGGATTAGTGAATCTCATCCGCTGTCGTTCCTAGTACGCTTGTGCTACGGCTTTATCTCAAGGGACTGGATAGTCCATGTTTCTCACGTGTATAGGGAAGCTAATCGTCTCGCTGACGGATTAGCAAACTATGCCTTTTCTTTACCGCTTGGTTTTCATGCTTTTGATGTTTGTCCGGATATTGTTAAACCGGCTTTGTTGGATGATGTCAGTGGGACTGCGTTCCCACGAAACACTCGTTTGTAATTTTAATTCTTCTTAAATAAAAGCTAGGAGACAATTGTCTCCTGCGGATTACCAAAAAAAAAAAATAATACATTTGTTTTCAGTTAAATACGACACTTGTTTAATAAAAAACAGAAAAACCCAAAATCTTATTTCTTTAACAAATATCAAAAGCAGTAGATGAACAACTAAACGCTTTTTTGCAGCAATCGGTCAACATCATCATCATCATCTTCCTTTGTATATGAGACCTCGTATCAGAGATGCCTCTGAAAAACTCCGACCTAATCGAGCCTCCTTCGACGACGAAGGAAAGTTTCACCGGAAACACCTTCCGCCTCTCAGGACCATGTTCGGTCGATGGCGGAAATGGACTGTTCTTGTTGCGGCGATCTGGATCCAAGCATCCACAGGAACTAACTTCGATTTCTCTGCTTACTCTTCACATCTCAAATCAGTACTCGGAATTTCTCAGGTGAGGTTGAATTACCTCGCGGTGGCTTCTGATTTGGGGAAAGCGTTTGGATGGTCGTCAGGGATTGCTTTAGGTTATTTCCCTCTCTCCGTCGTTCTTTTCGCTGCGGCGGCTATGGGATTTGTTGGTTATGGTGTTCAGTGGCTAGTCATCACCAACATCATCACTTTGCCTTATTCTCTGGTACATATACGAAATTCTTGTTGATTTGATATCATCTGAGAACGTAGGGTTAGTTCTTGTTGATGTATTGATCGAGTCTTTTTAACATGATAGGTGTTTCTGTGTTGCTTGTTGGCTGGATTAAGTATATGTTGGTTCAACACAGCATGTTTCATCCTCTGCATTCGTCATTTCCCGAACAATCGTGCTCTCGCCTTATCTTTAACGGTAAGCTTCAATGGAATTAGTGCAGCATTGTACTCCCTTGCTTTCAATGCAATTAACCCGTCTTCCTCGAATCTATACCTTCTGCTGAACTCTCTGGTTCCCCTTGTTGTTTCGTTCGCTGCGCTTTACCCAGTTCTTACTAAACCATCGTTAGACCCTACACCAGACTTTGAGTCCCGGCGACATGACTCCCATGTGTTTACCATTTTGAATGTTTTAGCCGTCATGACAAGTTTCCACCTTCTTCTATCCAGTTCCAGTACTTCATCAGCTCGTTTGAATTTCATTGGAGCTATCGTCCTTCTGGTTTTCCCCTTGTGTGCTCCTCTTCTCGTTTATGCTCGGGATTACTTTCTTCCGGTCGTTAACCATCGTTTCAACCATGAAAGCTCTGGCTATGTTATGCTTAACATAGATGAGCTCAAGAGCCAAAAAGTGTCTGTTTCCAGCAAAATTGGGTTTGAACATATGGGGACTGCTAAGGAAGGGAACATAGTGAGGATCGGTGATGAACACTCGTTTCGATTGCTCATAAGTAGATTGGAGTTTTGGTTATACTACATTGCGTATTTCTGTGGTGGCACTATTGGCCTTGTGTATAGCAACAATTTGGGACAGATTGCTCAGTCTTTAGGACAAAACTCTACAACCCTCGTCACAATCTACTCTTCATTCTCCTTCTTCGGTCGATTACTCTCTGCCGCACCAGATTTTATGCACAAGTAAGTTTCGTTTTTTAGATTAAGGAATGTCTAATGTGAAGTTTGGATAACAGATTCTCATTAAGAATATTGGTTCTTGCAGGAGATTTCGTTTGACAAGAACCGGCTGGTTTGCAATCGCACTCTTACCAACTCCAATCGCTTTCTTTTTACTAGCGATATCATCCTCACAACAAACAGCATTACAAACCGCAACCGCCTTAATCGGTCTGAGCTCAGGTTTCATATTCGCAGCTGCAGTCTCCATAACATCTGATCTCTTTGGACCCAATAGCGTAGGTGTTAACCACAACATTCTCATCACAAACATACCAATCGGCTCACTCTTATACGGTTACATCGCTGCCTCCATTTACGAAGCCAACGCAAGCCCCGAGATAACACCAATCGTGTCTGACTCAATTGTTTGCATCGGAAGAGATTGCTACTTCAAAACGTTTGTGTTTTGGGGTTTCTTATCAATCCTCGGCGTAGTCTCAAGTCTGTTACTGTACATAAGAACCAAACCGGCTTATCACCGGCTTGAACAAGACCAGGTTTCATTAACCTCATCGTACAAGGATCTTGATCCATTGTAAATCAAATTTGTAACACAAACAAACCTCAGAAAAAGATAATTAGTGGAACAAATTGAGAGATATACACGAGTTTTTGCTTACATATTATATAAATAGAATCTTAAATTAAAATTGTCTTTAATTAAGTAATTAGATTAAATCTTAATCACACATTTTGTGGGTTAGTCATCAAAAGTGACACGCACAGTATCGGAGCCAACGTAACTGACAAAATCATGAATTAGCCGTTGTGACGACTTTTATCATTTTCTTTCTCACTCACACTTATTTCTTTCTTTCTCCACCAAAAAAGCAAAAACCCTAAGAAACTCGAGTTCATCGACAATGGCGGATTTTGGGTATTTTTCAGATACAGACGATTCAGCAGTAGAAGAGCTAATTTCGCAAGCGAAGGAGCTTTCAGCTTTGGAGCAAGTAGCTGCTATCAATTGTTCTGGCTTCACCGATTCTACTCTCCCCGATGATCTCGAATCTCGCTTCCGTCGACTCAAATCTCTTCCAGCTGCTCCACGACACGAACCGGTTTCTTCGTCTTCTTCGATAAATACGAAGAAGCGTCTCACACACTCCAAGAGCGTGGCGACGAATCATCCGAAGGAGGATGTGAAATTCTCAGGAAATCGACGAAATCCAGGTAAAAAATCTGGTTCTACGAGTTTATCTGATGAAGATTCGAGAAACAAACGAGATCTGGAAGTGAAATCGAGTTCGCAAGCTGAGCTTGTCTCTAATGGAAGTGGAGATTTCTCCGATTCTGGAAACATCAGTGAGAGTAAAATTTTCTCGCCAGTGAAACAACAAATGAAGAAGAAGCTTCCTAAAGAGAAACGCAGAATCATTTCACCATCTTCTTCATCTTCGATTGATTTAGCTACACCACCATCAACAGATTCAGAACCAGAAAAGAAATCGAAATTGAAGTCGTCATCAAGCTCATGGTTCGATAAGTTATCTCCGTCGAAAATCATCGGATCCATTTGGCGTTCTTCGCCGAAAAAATCAACCACCAACAAGAAGAATCTCAAAAGCATCAAATCGTTTAATACTGCTGCTTACACTTCTGGTCGAGAGAGGAAGGTCGATTTTGATGAGTTTTTATCTGATTTGAATGCGTTTCCAGTGGAAGATCAAAGGAAAATGTTGAAGAAAGCGCTTAAGGAACAGCAGAAGATGAGGAAAGAAGCAGCTGAGATCATTAAAATGGCGAAACAGGCATCAGCTAGATTCGATTTTGATGATTGAGAATTGGGTTTTGGGGTTTGGCTGGTTCAGTTGTTTTGGTTATTTAATTTTCCGGTTTGAAGAAAATGCTCTTAGATATATAAATATAACCAGAAATATAAATAAATCTTAAATTAAGTAGTATTATATATTTCTTATATTTAATTATTTCAACTCCAAAGTCTAATTTCCTATGAATTTTTGGTTTATTTAAAATTAAAAAATCAATTTTAAAAAGTTATTTTAATTTGTTGAAAAGGTATAATATACGTTACTTTGTAAAACTAGAACGATCCAATCATCCAATTGTGTAATCAAAGCCAAAGGCCAAAGCTATTTTCGATTCGTTTCAATTGCTAGATTACATATTTACATATGTTCAAATATAAAAACGCCAGATATGATCTTAAAATCATAAAAAAATTTAGAAATTAAAATCTCACAAGTAAAGAGTATTATTTTTCTATGAAACTCAAAATTCACAAGACTAATGCTACGACAATGTTGTCGTAATCATCCCACCACATCTCCACTAAACCTCGCAATAACTTAGTAGTCTTAATGAAAATTAAAGCCCAAACTCGTTGCCGTTTCAATCTTTTCGAGTTCCCTTTCATGCCGTTTATAAACCCTTGCACTCTTTCAGTCACTACACCACAAACTTTCCTAAACATCGAAAAATGGCAACCAAAACTCTCCTCTACTGTTCTCTCTTAGCCATCACCATCTTCTTCGCTTCCACTTCTTCAGCTCACCGGGAAAACCTAACCATCGAGCTAATCCACCGCGACTCTCCTCATTCTCCACTCTACAACCCTCAACACACTGTCTCTGACCGCCTCAACGCCGCTTTCCTCCGATCAATCTCACGTTCCCGCCGTTTCTCAACCAAAACCGATCTCCAATCCGGTTTAATCTCAAATGGCGGCGAATACTTCATGTCCATCTCAATCGGTACTCCGCCGTCGAAAGTCTTTGCCATCGCTGACACGGGAAGTGACCTAACTTGGGTTCAATGCAAGCCATGTCAACAATGTTACAAACAAAACAGTCCACTCTTCGATAAGAAGAAGTCTTCTACCTACAAAACCGAATCTTGCGATTCCAAAACCTGCAACGCGTTGTCTGAACACGAAGAAGGGTGCGACGAATCGCGCAACGTCTGCAAATACCGATACTCTTATGGAGACGAATCGTATACCAAAGGAGAAGTTGCAACCGAGACAATCTCTATCGATTCTTCCTCTGGCTCCCCTGTTTCTTTCCCTGGTACTGCCTTCGGTTGCGGCTACAACAACGGTGGTACATTCGAAGAAACCGGATCCGGAATCATCGGACTTGGAGGCGGTCCATTATCGTTAGTTTCCCAGCTCGGTTCTTCCATAGGGAAGAAATTCTCTTATTGCTTGTCACACACGTCAGCTACAACAAACGGCACAAGCGTCATAAACCTAGGAACCAACTCAATTCCTTCCAAGCCAAGCAAAGACTCCGCTACGCTCACTACACCATTAATCCAAAAAGATCCCGAGACTTACTATTTCCTGACCCTCGAAGCAATCACCGTCGGCAAAACCAAGCTTCCATACACCGGAGGAGGATACAGTTTAAACCGGAAATCAAAGAAGACCGGTAACATCATAATCGACTCCGGCACAACTCTTACGCTTCTCGACTCGGGATTTTACGATGACTTTGGTGCGGCCGTGGAAGAATCAGTAACCGGAGCTAAGCGTGTGAGTGATCCACAAGGGATTTTAACACACTGTTTCAGATCCGGAGACAAAGAGATCGGTTTGCCGGCGATAACAATGCATTTCACCGGAGCCGACGTGAAGCTGAGTCCGATCAACGCGTTCGTGAAACTGAGCGAAGATATAGTGTGCTTGAGTATGATTCCGACAACTGAAGTTGCTATATACGGAAATATGGTTCAGATGGATTTTCTTGTTGGCTATGACTTGGAGACCAAAACGGTATCATTTCAACGCATGGATTGCTCCGGGAACTTGTGAAGCAAAACGATGTCGTTGAGTGCTAGTGCTTTGATTATCTGATATTCATAAATATTGCAATGTAATGAATGAATATTCAGAATAAATATTATCTCTACTTTCTAAATTTCTTTCTTTTTCCAAACATAAAAATCAAATAGCCATGTTACAGTCCAAAACAATGAAGCCAGACCGACGAAATTGACTAGTATTTTATTTTATTTTGACAGCAATTGACTAATTATTTTAAGTTATATGATAACCTCATGTTGAAAAAGAAATTTGACTAAATAAACAAAGAAATGAAGATATAATAATTTTCTTCCTTCGGTCCAATAAATAATTGCCATTAAAAAAGAAGAATAATAAGCTTTCATTAATTAAAAACGATTAAGGAAAAATTTTAAAAATGAAACATCATTATAAATAAAAATAAAGTTATTAAATGAGTACAAAATTGAAGACCAACAAAAAAAGTAAGTGTTGAAACCAAAAGAGTTAAGCTTCTTCAACTTTCTCCACTAAAATTCATTCCATTGTCGTTACCTTTTTGTTTCTCCGACTGTTACCTGTAAAGAAAGAGTTAAAGATCCATTGCAAAATCTCAACTTTTTATCTCTCTGCTTCTTCTAATTAAGTAATCTCAACTACCCTTTATTGCAAAACCTCTCGATCTATTGGTTTGGTACTGAAGAAACCGACTTGAGTCTGATTCGTTTCGTTTGGTTCAGTCATGGAAGCTATTAGAAAGCAAGCGGCGAAGCTCAGAGAGCAAGTCGCGAGGCAACAGCAAGTGGGTTTCTTTCTCCTTTTTAGATTTCTTTGTTCTTAGATTTATATGTCTGGTTACTGAGAAACATTTATTGTGTGTGGTTTTTATTAAAGGTGGAATCTTTGAAGTGGTGATGTTTAATTTATAGTCTTGTGGTAGATAGGATTGTTGAGGTATGAATTGGTTATATAGTTAGGTGAAAAGTATGGACTTTGCTTGTTTTAGACTTCGATTTTACCTTTTTTGTTATGATTTTAGGTTTAGATTACCTTTTAATTTCAGACAAGATTGTGTTATTTGTGTAGGTTTCTTTATTTGTATAAAAAAAATTGGTTATTGTGCAGGCGGTTTTGAAGCATCTAGGGCATGTTAATGCTGATGCTGTTGTTGTTGATGAAGAAGAGCTTCATTGTCATCAGAAACTTCAAGATCTTTATAGCTCTACTAAGGCTGCTAAGGTAAAGATATTTTGGTTTCTTTTTTAGGCTTTCTCGGAATTTTGATTAGTTTTGGTTTATTAAAATTCTTCTGTTCACAGCGTTTGCAAAGGAATATTGTTCGTGGACTCGAAGGTTTCATTGCGACGGGCACGAAAGTTGTAGAGATAGGTATGTTCTTGTTTCCTACTTCATCATATATACTTATTGGGATTAAGTTTGTAATGGTGTATGTCCATAGGGTTGAAGTTTGCTGAAGATTTTAAGAAATATGGAGATGAGAATCCTGATGCTAATACTCCTCTCTCAAGAGTTGCTCATCACTTTGGGACCTCTTACAAGTCGGTGGAAGGCGAGAGGGAAACTCTCCTCGGAGTTCTTAGTGAGCAGGTAAATTTTTTGGAACATTTTCATTCCATTCTCTAATCTTTTACTGTGCAGGGTTTCTCGAGAACTTTGTTAGTGTAGTTTATAGGTTCTTTATTAATAAAGATTCAGAATTTGATTTGTGTAGGTTTGTGAACCAATTCGTACAATGATATATAGTGCGCCTTTGGAGGATGCTCGGCACTTAGTGAATCACTATGACAGGCTGAGACAAGAAGTTGAAGCTCAGGTAAAGTCTTGTTGAACTTCTCTTGTGTTTGTTTTGAGGCACCTTGAATTTCTTGCGGCAGTTAACGCTTTTTTATTAATAGGCCACTGATGTACTGAGGAGAAGATCAAAGTTGAAGGAATCTGATATTTCTGAAGAAGCCTACATAAAACTTAAGAATTCCGAATCGAGATTAGCTGAGCTCAAATCAAGTATGAAAACTCTTGGCAAAGAAGCTACTAAGGCCATGTTGGAAGTCAATGATCAGCAGCAGAACGTAACTTCTCAGCGCCTCCGTGCTCTGGTAATCTCCACTTGAAGCGCATGATTGTTTACTTGTCCCTGGATTGGATATAAAATGAAATTTCCAACGCAGGTTGAAGCTGAAAGATCATATCATCGTAATGCCCTTGATATCCTCGACAAGTTACATTCTGAGGTCAGTAACTCGCACTATTTATATACTTCAGATAATGACTACATATAATCAGTCACGTGATCTGGTTGTCTTCTTCATATTCAGATGATTGCTGAGGAAGAAGCTATAGGATCATCACCAAAGTCACCAACTTTACATTTAGAGGATAGTGCTTCTCTTCCACAAGAAGAACCGAATCCAAAGCCCTTGGGAGAGATCAAATCAAATCCCTCGGGAAAGATCAAATCAAGTCGTCGAGAAGAAATCAAGTCTAATCCCCAAGAAGTAACCAAACCCACTCCCAAGGACGAAACAAAGTCTAGTTCCCAAGAAGAGACCAAATCCAATCACCATAAAGAAATCAAGCCTAGTCCACAGGAAGAGATCAAGAAGTCCAATGGATCTGATGATCAGCACAACCATCAACTTCTCAGTCAGAATGATTCCTACTTTCTTGCAAAGGTAATGCCTTTCAAAACACTTAACGGGTCATGATGCTACATCAGAACAAGGGAACAAGAGTTATGTTTTCTTGTTTTAACAGGTTGTGCACCCGTTCGATGCTCAAGCCCCGGGGGAACTCAGTCTCGCTGTCGATGATTATGTAATTGTGCGACAGGTACATTTCCCGCCACCCTTTACAACAATAACATACAAAACAGAGAAAAAAAATGATCTAACAATCTTCTTGTGTTTAATGAAACAAACTCAGGTGGCTGGGACAGGCTGGTCAGAAGGAGAATACAAGGGCAAAGCCGGATGGTTTCCGTCTGCTTACGTTGAGAAACAAGAGAAAGCTCCGGCGAGCAAGATTGTGGAATCAAACCCCAAGCAACAATGATCCCTTTCTTTTAACATATACATACAAAAAGTATGTGTAAGATATGATTTGTGTTTGTTTTTCTTCCTTTTTACCTATCATCGTAAGTAAAGATATGTTTCCACGAGTAAATATGTTCTTGTAAGAGTTATGATTTGTGTGTTTTCTTCCTTTTTCTTATGTAGCAAGTAGCATCATGAGTCTTAACTCTCGAGTTATTTCTTTACACAGTTGTGAAAATCCTGTTTTATCTTTTGTAATTTACTCTGATAACGATAATCATCTTTCTTGTTTCAGTAAAGTTTGAGTCTTTAAAGAATATGAAGACTCTGTTTCTGGGTTTTGGTAACAAAGGATAATTCGTAATATTATGCAGAAGAAGATCAGTTTTTTTCTACAAAGTTCACTACTTTACATTTTCATATCATCTCTTTTGGCCCAACGCCTAAAGAGATTTATCCTTACACGAACATGGGTTCTTTACAAACTCCATCACTTCTTATGTACAATAAGATGCTCAAATCTCTTGCTGAGACTAAAAGCTTCACGAAGGTTTTGGCTTTGTTCGGTGAATTGCGAGGACAAGGATTGTATCCTGATAATTTCACGTTACCGGTTGTTCTGAAATCAGTTGGTCGTTTGAGGAAGGTTCCAGAAGGTGAGAAGGTACATGGTTATGCTGTGAAAACTGGGCTTGAGTTTGATTCTTATGTATGTAATTCACTCATGGGAATGTATGCTGCTTTGGGTAAGATGGAGATCACTCACAAAGTGTTCGACGAAATGCCTGAACGAGATGTTGTTTCTTGGAATGGGTTGATTTCTAGTTATGTTGGGCATGGGAGGTTTGAGGATGCCATTGGTGTGTTTAAGCGGATGAGTCGGGAGAGCAATTTGAAGGCTGATGAGGGTACGATTGTGAGCACTCTTTCGGCTTGTTCGGTTTTGAAGAATCTGGAAATCGGTGAAAGGATTTATAGGTATGTTGTCACAGAATTTGAAATGAGTGTTAGGATTGGGAATGCATTGGTGGATATGTTCTGTAAATGCGGGTGTCTCGATAAAGCTAGAGCAATTTTCGATTTGATGAGAGACAAAAATGTTAAGTGTTGGACTAGCATGGTTTCTGGCTATGTTAGTAATGGTAGGATTGATGAGGCTAGAGAGTTGTTTGAGAGAAGTCCTGTAAAGGATGTTGTTCTGTGGACAGCTATGATGAATGGGTACGTTCAGTTTAATAGGTTTGATGAGGCATTGGAACTGTTCAGGTGCATGCAAACCAAGGGAATTAGGCCGGATAATTTCGTGCTAGTCTCTCTTTTGACAGGTTGCGCGCAAACGGGAGCTTTAGATCAAGGGAAGTGGATCCATGGGTACATACGTGAGAACAGAGTTACAGTAGATAAAGTAGTTGGTACTGCTCTTGTAAACATGTATGCAAAATGTGGGTGCATTGAGACAGCACTAGAGGTTTTTTATGAGATGAAAGAGAGAGACACGACTTCTTGGACATCGCTTATATACGGTCTTGCCACGAACGGGATGTCAGGGAGAGCGCTGGACTTGTATTACGAAATGGAAAATGTTGGTGTCAGATTAGATGATATAACCTTTGTTGCGGTTTTAACAGCTTGTAATCATGGTGGATTTGTAGCAGAAGGACGTAAGATTTTCTATTCGATGACGGAAAGACATAAGATGCAGCCTAAATCAGAGCACTGCAGCTGTCTGATTGACCTACTATGCAGAGCTGGATTGTTAGATGAAGCAGAGGAATTGATAGCTAAGATGCATGGTGAAAGCGACAAAACTTTAATTCCCGTATACTGTTCTCTGCTTAGCGCTGCTCGGAACTATGGGAATGTAAAAATAGCTGAACGTGTAGCAGAAAAGCTCGAGAAAGTGGAAGTAAGTGATTCCAGTGCTCATACTCTACTTGCAAGTGTATATGCATCTGCTAATAGATGGGAAGATGTAACGAATGTGAGAAGGAAAATGAAAGATTTGGGAATCAGAAAGTTTCCTGGTTGCAGCTCCATCGAGGTTGATGGCGTTTCTCATGAATTTATTGTTGGAAATTATCCATCATCACACCCAAAAATGGATGAGATCAACTCAATGCTGCATCAAACTACAAATTTGATGTTGGATTTGGAACATGAAGAAATTGAAAGATGAAACTTTCTTGTACATACATTCTCTAACTACTGTCCTTAAATCATTAACATTTGTTTCCCTGCTTTATGGTCTAAGTGTTCATAAGTATAAAAGGCTAATGAACCGGTTTTGAAATGATAATTCGATATCAGTTGAGATCAGCTTCTGTAACTGAATCAAGATTCATTTGAGACTGAAGAAGAAGAAGATGAAGGAACATGGATTATTTCAAAAGAACATAAAGGAGAGCAGTTTTTCTACAAAAGGTCACAACTATACAATTCAATATCACGTTTAAATAAAAGTTTTTTCAAAAATCAGAACAAAAAGAGAAGGGGCTGAAAATGAATGGCTCGAATCTTGTAAAACTGGAGGGGCAGAGTAAATGGCAACACACCACAGACTATGTTTCATTACTGGAAAATGATGGCTCTTCGTTGGTATTTGCAGGTTTTCTCGGGGAGCAAAAACGGATATCGAATAGACACAGCATTTGAAGGTTTTCCCCGGGAAACCAGATTCCATTTACTTTTTCTCAAGGTTTGACTGGTGGGTTTATGCAATTAGTCAGAGCTGGAATCATAAAATTCGCTCGGACAAGGAGTCATGACCTCTGATTCAAGCAACTGGACAACCCGATGCATCGTGGGGCGCTCTTCTGGACTCGAAGACACGCACTGTGTTGCTATTGATAGTAGAGCGTCAAGGCTCTCTATCTGCATTCCTTCACAGTTTCGATCAACAATCTCCCTTGGCCGTTTTTCGCTGATTAACAACTTTAGCTGTAAATCATGAATTAAAAGCTTTTTTTTAGTCAAATTTGTCGTATCAAAATATCAGTATTGAAAAAGAATCTCATTTGCATACCCAACCAACAACGTTAAGGCCTTTCTCGATGAAGGAAGCATCGGTTGGTCGTTTCCCACTCAAGACTTCAAGAACCAAAACCCCAAAGCTGTATACATCGGTTTTCTCAGTTGCTCTACCACTTTGCATATATTCTGTTAAGTGGAGGTCAAATGGGATACTCTCAGCATATTAAAGACCAACTCTTTATGTAAGTGAAGACTCTTAAAAGGCACTTACCTGGCGCTAAGTACCCAAATGTGCCTGCAACAATGGTTGTAATATGCGATTCTTCGTCTTCCAACAACTTGGCTAGACCAAAATCCGATACCCGCGCCTCCAGATTGCCATCAAGCAATATGTTGCTCGACTTTATATCACGATGTATAATCCTAGGAGAACAATCGTGATGCAAATATGATAACCCTTTCGCAGCTCCTATGATGATATTTACGCGTGAATCCCAGTCCAATTGCTCGCCTCTCTCTACTAATTCAAGAACCAAACTTCTCAGTGAATCATTCATAATATGGAAGAGAGCCATAAAGAGCAGATTGATCATACCATGAAGTGCTTCATCAAGGCTACCACCGGGCAAGTAATCATATAACAGTAGCTTTGATGTTGGTGAATTGCAATATCCACGTAGATTCACGAGGTATCGGTGTTTGATGCTGCCAAGAATCTCAAGCTCCCTCTCAAAAAACCGATCAAACCCTTCGTTTAACTTTAGAATTCTCTTTAATGCAAACACCTTGCCATCATCCATGGCCAGCTTATACACCGTTCCAAAGCCTCCACATCCGATTATGTGCTCTTCATTCAACATTTCCAGCTTCTTAATGATATCTTTGGAAGAGTAAGGCAAATCTCCGTGGAACATCACAATAGACGCACCTGAATTGACAAAGTCATAATGAAGCTTTAGGAGATAGAGAGAAATATGAAAATCTGTACCAAAAAAAATCAACACGGCTCACCTCCCCCAACATCCTTTGCAAGGCTTTTAATCTCGACTTTACCGAGCTTTTTATATAGAAAGCATCCCCAGAAACACATGAGTGCCACTAGGAGCAGCGCACCTACAGTTGCTGATGCGCTAATAAGCAGCTTACCAGAATTTTTCTTTTGATTTTGACCTATAATGTAGAAGGCACCAAATATATACAAATTATTGATAGAGCCACAACAAAACCTGTATATTACCAAAAAAATGGCTTTACCTGATTGGGACTTTGAAGAGGGGTTTCCACTATCATCTTGGCACACAACATCAATATGCTTTCCACACAAGTTAAGATTTCCAATGAAGCTGTAGAATGCATAAGTTTGAGAATCTTATAAATTTCAGTAGCACTGATACAATCTTAGCTAAATGGTTACTGTGGTTCAAAAACACATCCCGAATATAAGCGAAGCTTAGAAAGATCAGCTGTATAAATGTAAATTTAGAGGCTTTGTTTTTCTAATCCTGCAAGGAGAAAAGGGTTTTTGTTGTCTTACGAGTTCTTAGAAAATCCAGAGAGCACTCCGTCTGAAGGTATTTGCCCCACCAGGAAGTTGTTTGAGACATTGCTTCATAAGACGAATGAAACAGAAAGATTCAGAGGATTGCAATATGATAAATTACAGCGGAAGTTAGAGATTAAGGTTCTCACAAGTTAGTAAGCTTTTTCAACTGCCCAAGTGAAGCAGGGATAGCTCCACTAAGAGTGTTGCTTGACATGTCCCTTGAAAATAAAATAGAAAAGTCGAAAGTCAGTTTTAGTAGAGAAAAGAGAACAACCACTATATTTAAACTACGTGAATCCGAAGTAAACGTTATCAACTTATCATGCTTTTCAAATTTCGGTACTTTTATAGGCTCACCAAGAATTTAGGTATAACTAGTTATGAATATAATGTGGCATGAGAAGACATTATGCAGTCAACCATATGTTTTGTGATAGAAGTAACTGAAACAAAAACTAATATATATTGCAGAGACTAAAAGACAGATGCATTTGCAAGTATAGGGAAGAGGAAAAAAAAACATACAGCTTTTGAAGGCCAGGCAGGTCTCCCATTTCAGCTGGGATTGGTCCAGTGAAGTAGTTACTCTGCAAGTGACTGCAAAAACCAGTTGGACAATTTTGATGACCATGAACAACGGGAATTGGTCTCTCCGAAACCATGTGAAAAAGCATAAATATCCTGGAAAAGTGCTTACATTTCCTCCAATGCCGTGCAATTTCCCAATGCTGTAGGTATTGCTCCATATAAAGCATTGTTGTGAAGCATTCTGCAATGACACACAGATGATCAGCATCAAAGTATACTCTTAAGAAATAAAAATGATCAAGGTTAAAGAGCACATACAAAAGCCTTAAATGGTCCAGCTTTCCAATCTCAGGAGGTAAAGGTCCCATTATTTTGTGATAAGTAAGATTCCTGCGAAACAAGAAACATTAGGGAGCACAAATACAGAAGAGAAAACCAGTAAACCCTGACAAGATTCAAAACTTACAAGGTGATAACTCTTTTCGTTTTCGCATCACATGTCACACCATTCCAGTTACATGGATCTGGATCTTCCGGTCTCCACTGATGGATGAAACTATCTGATCTAGAAACTGCATTTCTGAAGCTCAGAAGCGCCTCGCCTGAAGAATGTATACGAGCAAAAAAGGATTAAAACTCCATAAAAGGTCCAGAACGCTATGAATGGTAAAAGTGATTCATATCACCGTACCGTCAGGACTAATGGCTTGACTTTCATTAGATAGTGCACAAAGCAATAAGATCAAAAGAAGCCATGAGCAGCAGCTTTTCATCTCACAGATGCCCATCATGGCACTGTTCAAGCATAATATAACTACTACCAATCATTTGAAAGAACAGCCTCTTGGTTGTCAGTTATTTAATGATTCCATGTCCATGTCCAAATAAGAAACTACACTCCTGAAAAGCAAAGGAAATACATTAGCCCAAAACCACAAAACTAATTCTCAATTACACATCAAGCTCACTCTACACACAACCTATGCATGCTCTCATCTACATTTTGACTACCAAGAACAGTGAAATCGTCTCACAAGAACCAAAACCCACTTCCCAATTTCTAAAATCAGAAAAACGAGGCTAAATTCTGCCAAAAATCCCAAATTCATCATCAAACAAAAGAGCTCAAACAGCTCAAGCTTAACATAGATTACAAAATTCCCAGATACCATCCAGTCCTATAACACAATAACAACTGAAGATTCAAACAGTCTCTAACAATCCAAAACTCAAAACACGATTCAGCAAAAGACCCAAAACCCAACTCTTCCCCACAATATCAAAGGTTAAAACTTTAAAGCTTAAAAATTATACGAACCTCTAAAAATGGATCCGAGAGGAAGAAGAATTGAGAGACAGAGGAAGAAGACGACTAATTTGAGCTGTAAAGCAAAAAAAAAACTATAACTTAAGGAGAAGAAAAAAAAAAACAAAAAAAGGAATCGACTTTTTTTTTGTTTGTGTGATTTATGGTAAGAGTGAAGAGAGAGAAACTAGAGTGAGAGAGTGTGTGTGAAGAAGAAGATGCTTTCTTCTTACGACCAATGAGAAGAAACGAAGTGGGTCTCGCACGTGCCGATCTTGACCTCCCACACGTGTCAACCGACGCTTTCTTTATCTCTCTCTCTCTTATAAAACCCAATTATTATTGCCAGCTAGACCTTAGCTAATAGCCTACTCTCTAAAATGGTCTAAATCATCATTGGGCCCGTTTTAAGGCCCATTACGGTATAAGTCTCCGGTTTTCTTTAACCGGATTAAACCGGTTTGGATTAGAAGCCATTGTTGTTTCGCTGTTGTCGTTCACCTTTGCGTTTATATCGATGGCTACGGCGGCGATTCTTTCCTTGAAACCGCCGGCGAGCTTCTTCCACGGTGGAAACCGACGCGACGGAGGAAGGGGGATCACCGTCGCACGAGTTTCTCGAGGCGAATGGTTTCATGAGAGGATCGTTCGTCTCTCCGCTTCGACTGTGTTGTTCCTCGGTTTAAGCAGCCTTCGCGTCTGTTCTCCGGCCTCCGCTCAATTACTACCTCCGCCGATTGTCGTTACAGAGAATGAAATCAACACAGAAACTGTAGCTGGTGCGTGAAATTGAATGTTTTCGTTACTCATTGGGTTTCGATAGATTTGAATTTTGTTTTTCAATGGATTTTTGCAGGTGAAGAGAATCTAAATGATGTTGACGATGAAAAATTGGAAGCAGATTTCGAAGCTTACAAGGCTAAAGTGTATTCACTGACGGTGCCGCTAAAACTCGTTGCCTTGCGTGGCTCAGTGCCTCCATCATGGATCAAGGTTTTAGTTTCACTTCTCTGTGTCCCATTTCTATTTGAATTTTAGCTTATTTTTGAAATGTATGTTGTTGAATTCTGTGGATTGAAATTTAGGAGTTTATGAGCTCACAAGGAAAGAGAGTGAGGTTAAAGACTCGGTTTCGAGCGAATCTTGAAGAAATTTTCTTTGATTTATCGAAGCCTACTAAAAAAGGAAATAAGGAGTCTGCTTCAACTGCAGCAGCTGATATGATCAGCATTGGTGATTCTTGGCTTAGTTATGCAATTAAGGAAAAGCTAATTGAGCCAATGAAAGGTATAGAAGATCAAGACTGGTATAAAGGCTTGAGTGATAAATGGAAGGTGAGAATCTAAATCAGTGGTTTAAAAAAATATGAATATGAGTCTTTGAAAGAATTATGTATTTGGTGATACAGAACACTAGCTTGAGAGATTTTATAGGCATAATCTTACATGTGTTTCGGTTTCGTACTCTGTTAACTTTGGAAATGTTCTTCTTAGGGTTCATTCCGTGACTTAGAAACTCTCAGATTTATCTCCGCAGGAACTATGCGGGAGAAAAAGCTCCTGATGGTGAAACGTGGGCTGTGCCGTACCGCTGGGGCACCATGGTTATAGCATACAAAAAGAGCAAATTTCAGAATTATAAATTGGCTCCGATAGAGGTTGGTATACTTTATCGGTGCTAAATGCTGTCTTAACGTTTGTAGCTGTATCTTTATTTAAAAGAAGTGAATATAACATTTTACTGAATTTAGGACTGGGCTGATCTGTGGCGACCTGAGCTTGCAGGGAGGATCGCAATGGTTAATTCTCCTAGAGAGGTTGTTGGTGCTGTTCTCAAATACATGGGAGCATCATACAACACGACAGACCTGGATTCACAAGTTGCTGGAGGAAGAATTGCCGTGGAGAAAAACCTAGCATCACTCATGAAACAGGTTATTACCTTTTTACTATCTCTCCAATCTCCATACCCTAAAGAGAACACATGAGTTTAGGTTGACGTGTTTCACGCAACCTCTATAGTTATTGAGAAAAAATGACAATGGTGGCTGATCTTGTTTCCTCTTTTGCTTATAGATTAGGCTGTTTGACAGTAACAACTATCTAAAAGCTTTCAATGTCGGAGATGTCTGGGTCACTGTTGGGTGGAGCAGCGATGTTATCCCTGTCGCAAAACGTATGTCTAATGTTACAGTGATTGTTCCCAAGTCTGGGGCTACCTTATGGGCTGATCTATGGGTAAGTAACCGTCTTAAATTTTCTTAATATTCTGAATGTTACCATGTAACATATCTGGACACTAACCCGTGAAGCATCATTATTTTTCAAAGGCAATCCCAGCTGTCTCTGACTCTGGTAAAGAAGCGGAACAGATAGGAGGAAGAGTCCGAGGCCCATCTCCATTAATCCACCAGTGGATAGAATTCTGCTTGCAACCCGCAAGATCATTACCCTTCACACGGGAAGTGATTCCTGGTGCATCTCCTTCAGCTCTTGATGGTCCTCTGGTTAGAGAACCCGAAAAAACAAAGAAAGACAGAACAAAACTGGACACAAACCTGGTCACAGGTGTTCCTCCTCCAGAGATCTTGTCTAAGTGTGAGTTCTTGGAACCTTTACCAGAGGCTACGGTATTGGAATACCAGTTTCTGATTGATACTGTAAGGAAGCAAAGCCAAAGACCTGGCCTTGTGGTGAAACTACAGGACATTGTTTCGATTTGGGTTCGTGGATTTAGGACAAAGCTCGACTCCGAATTGAAGAAGAACGTTTGAGAGACTGACAAAAAGAGGAAATAGAATCATTTATATGATTACATTGAGCAACTTCACGTTGGAAAACGAGGTGCAAGTTTAACAATGGGGTTTTTCTATCTCCTTGTAACAAAGTATCATGTCATGAAGAGCCAGAGGCTGATCGCATTTGATCATGTTACTAGTTAGTCGTGGGTTTGAGAAATGACAAATGACAAAAAGGAATAAAGAAGGTGAAACATTTGTATAATTAAACTACACAAATTGCCTAATACAATAACCTAACATTCAATTTATCGGCCATTAACTTGATTATGTGCTCTAAGAGGCAAGTATCATAATTTAGTGAAATATATAAAGGAACTTTGGAACTATCGGCCCACCAATGAGCTATGAGGAGCCGAAGCGTTTTCACAATCCTCAAGGTTTCGTAATCAACACGATTCCCATTCAAACCTATTAATTGATGCTTATAAATTGAAGTGACTCTGCGTCTTCTCGATTTTTTTTTATCAAGGTTGGTAGTGTGCTACTCGGTTCTAGGATTTAGTCTCTCTTCATCTTCTGGTAGTTCTTTTTTTCCGGATAGCAGATATTATTTTCTGTTTTGGTTTGGACGTTTGGTTGCTAGGAGACTTCATCAAGAACAATGGAAGAGCAATATGAAAAGAAGATAACATGGACGATTAAGAATTTCTCCTCTTTGCCATCTCATGCAATTTATTCTGATAATTTCGTAGTTGGTGACACCAAATGGTAAAAACTTGTTCTCTTACATGTTATGTTTTGTAATGTTTACGTTTCATTTTAGGTTTACCTGATATTACCCTTTGCTTATTGATTTTTGGTTAATGCTGGCAGGCATCTTCTGGCCTATCCCAAGGGATATGGTGATAGAATTAATAAATGTTTGTCTCTGTATCTGGCTGTTCCTGATTCTGATTCTTTGCCTTCTGGTTGGAAAAGACACATCCAATATCGTCTAACTGTTGTTAATCAAATGTCCGTGAAATTCTCCAAACAGGAAGGTGATTTGTTTCTACATTTGCTAGTTTATGTTTCTAATTAATATTTTATGGTTCTACTTGTCATGGACCCATAGGACTTGTGTTGTAGTGAGATTCTATGTATGTGTTTTTGTGCAATGCTTGTTTTGACTAAAGTTCTATGTTTCGTGACTTTACAGTAGCACGAGGCTGGTTTTATCCGAGGTCTCTTACCTTTGGTTCCCAAGCAATGCTTCCCCTAACCGAACTTCTTGACGTAAATGGTGGGTTTCTTGTTAATGGAGAAGTCAAGATTGTTGCCGAGGTTGCTGTTCTTGAAGTTGTTGGCAAATCAGATGTGCTAGAGGAAACTTTATTAGTTAATGGAGGCATCAATGTCAATGGGTTTAAAGTTCTTCCTTCACAGGTAAGAAAAAATACTTGTAACTATATAATTTACTTTCTTGTACAAGCTGCATTTATGGTTTGTGTGTATGTTTTCAGGTCTCGACAAACTCCTATCTGATATGGTTTTTACTACTTATTCGTCTGTTTTTCACTTGCAGGTAGAATCTGTGAACGATCTCTTTAAAAATCACCCAGACATTGCATCAAACTTCCGTCTGGAGAACACACATCTAAGAACAACATACTTGAATAGCCTACTATGCTTGACTGAGCTTCTGTGCCAGTCCCCTCAGAAACTCTCCAATGTTGATCTCGCCAATGCACACTGTACTCTAACTTGTGTGACAAAAGCCGGTTTTAAGTT